TGCATGGTGCCTGTTGGTACCCACAAGGACTTGCTCTGTATTTAACCTGAGCTTGACAAATATTTGCTGATCCAATTGATGCCATTATTTTCTCTTCAAGCTCTTTTAAAATATAGAACAACAACAAAAAAATAAATGAAATCTAGAACATTTCATAGAATGTTTGTATTTGTCTTTGCCTAAAGCTAATGCTTGCTGTCCTGAGATTCTATCTCTACTCTCCACCACTATGTCACCTTCTTCTCATGCTCATTAGAACAGTGTGGTTGGTTTGTTTGGGGATTTTGTTGTTGTTGTTTAGACTTATTTTGGCTGTTTTTGTTGGAGGGGGCTTTCTGATTTTAACTTTTACATTGTTGCTCTCTGTGGATCCTGCTATCTGGAAGCTTCCTGTGTTGTCTCACACTTTGTTCCTTCCAGAATTTGACAGATAAGTTATTTTAGATGTAATGAGAAAACACGGTGAATTCATCACATTGCACATATTCACAGATCTTTAGTTTTTAAGCTCAATTAATTTCAGCACTTGTAGACAGAGAAAAACTAAAATAGATTCACTCGAATAGAGCAATCTCTTCCCTGTATGTTTTGTGTAAGCGACCTCTAATCTTGTTTGCTTTCACACCACATTACTGCAATTCAAATAAAACAATGATTTTTAAGGCACCAACCCTCATTGACTTTTATGTACTAGTAACAAAAGTTGAGTGACTCAAGATATGTCCCAAATACCCTAAACAGAAATTAGCAGGAAATACACTAAGCCAGGAATTGGTAATGTTATTGCCTGGGGCCCTAATGTGGCCTGGCTTTATATGGCCTGTAAGGTAAGTTTTACATTCTTAAGTGATTCTAATCAAATCTAGCCAGTAATCCCAGTGGCTCTGGAGGCTGAGGCAGGAGGATCAGGAATTCAAAGCCAACCTCAGCAAACTCAGCGAGGCTCTAAGCAACTCAGTGAAACCCTGTCTCTGAATTAAATACAATATAGGGCTAGAGATGTGCCTCAGTGGTTGAGTGTCCCTGAGTCTAATCCCTGGTCTCTGCCCCTGCCCCATAAAAAAAGATGGAATGTAAAGAAAAATATTTTGTGACTTATAAAATTGTACAGGATTCTAGTTTCCATATGCATGAATATGTAATTCGAATAGGAATAAACTTTGACTGAAACCCACTTGTTTTGCTATGATCTGTGGCTACTTTTGCACTGCAAAGACTAGTAAATATAGACCTCAAGTCGAACATAGTTACCATGTAAACCTTTACAGAGAAAAAGTGATCAGTCTCTGGACTATACAGATTATAGCCCATGGTTCATCAAAAAGGTCTGGTATATTTCTTGGTCATATTAGGTGGAATGATAATGCTGAGAAAAGCCCATTCTACTAACTTTATTTTTCCCTGGAAGAAATACTTAGAGGGGAGGCATGAATGCATTGTACATTTGTGATAGGTGACTTATTTGCTTTATTCTGTGAGTATTGGAATTTAAGAAGCCTTTCTAATTTGTTTGCACTGTTTATTTTGCTGATGCCTTTTTTATCCTGGTGGCTCACAAAAGCACAGACACTTACACACACAAAGCCTTTTTTGTCAGCAGCAGAGTATTATACTTTGCAATTCAACATTTCTGCTTATGTTCACCAAATAGCAAGGAACTAAGATCCATGGCCACCGCCTTTCATATCACCCCTTCTTGACCCTGGGTCAACTGGGCAGATTCAGCAGCAGCTCTCTTCAGAAGAGTCAATCAGATCGATTTTTGAATAACAAAATTGAAATTCCTATGAGAAGGGACCAGCAGATTTTTTAGAAATGAGAATGCCTGATTTCCTCAACCGATGTTCCTGCGTTTGTTGCGTTTTTTTTCCTGATTGTAGTACGACCTAGTTTCTCTGTTTCTTGCTTCCTCCACACCCCTTTGGCCTTCTGTCCCCGTGGCCCTTCTTCCTAATTGCACCCTGCATATCGGTTGCTATATTTTATTTGCTTCTCCTTGATTGTTTCAGGCTGGCTTGTTCTCCTGGTCGGTCAGGATCAGTTAGGTCATTTGAGCTTTGGCTTCTGAGATGCATGTAGAGGCTCTGATCTCTGCTCTCCCAACCACCTGATCTCGATTCTTAGCTGGGGAGCCTCCATGTGAGAGCACTGGGTCTCCAAGGTCAAGTAGGTAAAAGGAAAGAAAAAGACACAAAAAGCAAGTGGGAGCTTCCAAAGACAGGCCTTGCCTATCTTCTGATTCATGTCCAAGGGCTCCTTTTTAAATTTTTTTTTTTCCTGGGCATTCTTTAAAACTTTTTTTCTTTTGCTTTTTCCTGTAGAACAAGGAGAGGTGACTCAAGTTTGGGGGCATTTGTGACATTACAGGTGCAGTGAGAAATCAGAAAGTCACCCACCCAGTTATCCTTACAGATCTTTACCTGGGAGGAGCGTTTGTCTCTATTATTCAAATGAGTCAGTGGGGGCTGGCCATGCCGGTCACCTGTCCACCTGTCCACCTGTCCCCCGTCAGAGGCAGAGAGCAAGCAGGACCCTGCCCCTCAAGCCGGGGGCTGTTACCAGATGGCAGCTTTGAATGCAGGAAGACTTCAGGTTGGGGCTGTGTTCCACAAAGGGGGTRATGGCACTAGGATCCTGGGAGGCCGGGGAGATGCTCTTGGCAAGTTTCTTATCCTACAGGAAATGTTAATTATAAAAGGACCCAGCGTGTGGGGAGATTGCAAAGATGGTTGTCAGAGGATTTCTTCACTGCTCTGTTTATTGGCTAGGTCAGTGAACTGGCCAGGGGTCATGAGTAAAGAACAGCTGAGTTTTACTGCCTATTATAGGACGAATTATAAAACAATCAACACTGAAGAGCAGTTCAGATGCTCCACATGCAGATGTCCACTTTATCCTTTAGAAATGAGTTCTGCAAATCCCTTCCAAGTATTGTGATGACTGTTTCTTTAGCTCACAAAGTATCTCACACTGTGTTTTTAGTCCTGTTAAAAGGATTTACGAATTAAAACTTGTACAATTGTTAGTTTCTTAGGATTTACTGTTATTTTAGTGTTATTGTCCTATAATTGGATACATTTCTGTCTTAGTCCATTTATGCTGTTAGAACAGACTGGGATCATTTATAAAGACAGATATTTATTTTCTCACAGTTCTGGAGGCTAAAAGTCCATGATCAGGGTGCCAGCATTTGGTGTCTATTGAGGGCCTGTTGTGTCCTCACATGGTGGAAGGCAGAAAGGCAAATCAGAGTGGAATAGTGCACTCACCAAACCCAGCAAGAAGTCTCTTTCTTAAAGGCCTTTGTTTTTCTCAGAGGTCCCCCCTCTTAATACTATCTCACTGGAATTTTGGAGGGGATCTATTGAAACCAGAAAATGAACATATTCTGCTTTAATTCTAAAATATACTAAATGCCTTCTGTAGGACTTGCTACTGTCTTGCAAATAAACTCTGTTCTCAGTTAAGCCCTTTCAAGTGATCTTCCTGAATTAGGTTTCTGTTCCTCAACTTTGCATTGCTGTAACAAAATATCTAAAGAAATAACTTAAAGGAGAAAGGACTTAGGAGGCTCACAGTTTCACAGAGTTTAGTCTACGGCCAGCCTACTTCATTGCCCTGGACCTGAGGCAAGGCAGAACTTCATGGTAGAAGAGCTTGGTGGAGAAAAGCTGCTCATCGGTTCACGTCAGCTGGAAAGCAGAGAGAAAGTGAGAGAGGGGAAGGGACCAGGGACAAGACATAGTCCCTCAGGGAATGACCTCAGTGACATACAGTCATGCCCCACCTGGCGACAGGTACCACCCAGTAGTCCATTCAAATTATGAATCTATCAATGGGTCAGTCCATTGATGAGGTCAGACCCTCATGACCCTTTCAGTTCCCCAAACTCCACCTCTGAAAATGGCTGCAGTGGGAACCAAGTCTCCAACACCCGAGCCTGTGGGAGACATTTCAGATCCAAACCATAGTTGCCCGTAGGTGTTGGCATTTCTCTGCCCCTTTCTGCCACAGGACTCCTCTCATGTATTCTATGTGTTAAAGCTACATTGGACTCTGTCTTGGTTTGGGAAGTGGATGTTTCCCTCCTGTCTATCCTTGCAGTGTGCATGGATCCTGGCTCCTCCTTGGTGTCTTCTCTAGCTCATTGATTTCTCCTCTGTATTTTCCCAGCTCTTAGCTGGGCTCAATTCCACTTAGCCTTGTACGTTGGAGTAAGTCACAAATAATATATCCTATCATCACTTGACTGGCAGCTCTTTGAAATTGGACATCATGGTAAACTTGTATCTTTCATCAAGTCGACGTTGATGCATCTTGATGAACTGATTTGTTGTTTCTGAAGGATCACATATCTCAAAAATTAAATAGATTCAGCATCCCCAGTGAAAGAGTCTGAAATGAAAGATAAATATTATTAATTTTTATGAGTGCCAGAGATGGCAACACTAATCCCCAGATGGGTTTGTGACCAGCCACCTGGGTAACACCCTAGATATCTTGGAGCCTTGGTGGCCCTTAAATTTTAAAAAAATCATGAAGATGACTGCCTTGCTTATATGTTAGGGTTTTCATAAGGATGCAAAGTTACATCTGAAAACGTTGAGAAATCACTAAATTGTTTTACATACAAAATTTTGTTGTTTTATTTCATTTCCGCAGTCCCAGCATTTAAGAAAAATTTAATAGGGGTTTACAAAAAAATTTTTTAAAAAAATGTACTATGTAGATGATGTGTATCTGTAGCATTGTCATTTTGATTTATAGTCCAGTTTGTACCTTCATAGTGATTAATGGCGTGGACATAAATAAATAAATGTGAACGGTGTTGAGGGAATCATCTGATTTACCTTGTAATCTGCAAAGCCAGTCTCTAGTGAATTACACTGGGAGACTTGGCAGATTTTGGAATTACACCCATTGGTTAGAAAAAAACAAATGTCCCTTCCCCATAATTCCTGCATAACTCAGATTTTGTGCCTTCGTGTTTTCATTATCAGGCTTCCATCTCTATCACAAGTTGCCCACCATCGTGCCCGAGAGCTGCCTTCTCATAATGGTGGGACTTCTACTTGGTGGCATTATCTTTGGTGTGGATGAGAAGTCGCCCCCTGCCATGAAGACCGATGTGTTCTTCTTGTACCTCCTGCCGCCCATCGTGCTGGACGCCGGCTATTTCATGCCCACTCGCCCCTTCTTTGAGAACATAGGCACGATTTTCTGGTATGCCGTGGTAGGAACGCTGTGGAATTCCATCGGCATCGGGGTGTCTCTGTTTGGCATTTGCCAGATCGAAGCCTTTGGCCTCAGTGACATCACTCTGCTCCAGAACCTGCTCTTTGGCAGTTTGATCTCAGCCGTGGACCCCGTGGCCGTGCTCGCCGTCTTTGAGAACATCCACGTCAACGAGCAGCTCTACATCCTGGTCTTTGGGGAGTCCCTGCTGAACGATGCTGTCACAGTGGTGAGTGACACGTCATGAGCGTTACCGTGGCACCCGGAGCCCAGTGCTCACCTGCATCTTAGCAGGTTTCCTCTGAGGACGCAGAGGAACCAAACCAAACGCACTTTCTCCCAACAAGGTGCCTCCGACTGCTGCTGTGAGTGGGTGTTTCTCCACCCAGCCACCAGCTAGGTGTCCTGGAGTTCAGTTCAGTTCTGACAGCCCACCTGGAGATAGCCTCAGATCCCCCAGGTGGCAGGCCCATCGCCAGCCCCAGGTGTTTTACCTGTGCATCTGATAGAGAGGCTCCAAGTTGGAGGTTCTTAAGACCTCTTCCTTGCCAGAGAAGCTCACCGCACTCAGGGAAACACGTTTGCTGGTTTGCTAAGGATATTGCAAAGGATACAGATGGAGAGAGGGAGTAGAAGCTTCCGTGAGCTCTGTGGGTGCACCGCCCTTCAAGAACCTCCACAGGCTCAGCTCTCCAGGTGTTCTCTGAACCCTGCCCTTTTGGAGTTTTATGGGTGCTTCATCACGTAGGCGTGGCTGAAGGTTAAATCACTGGATACCAGTGATAAAATGAACCTTCAGCCCCTTTGTCCTCTTTGGAGGTCGGAGTAAAAGTCCCAGCCTTTTAATCCCACCTTGGTCTCTCCAGTGACCAGCTCCAATCCTGAAGCTACCCTGGGGCCACCAGCCATCAATCATTAGCATACACTTCAGAGATTCCAAGCATTTTATAAGTTACATGCCAAGAAAGTGGGCAAAGACCAAATATATAGATCACAGTATCACAGCCCCTCACTTAGATTAATGCTCCAGTGTCACTGCCTTGAAATTCTTTATACTTTTCTAAATGTATTTGCTTACTTTTTATTTATTATGGTACAATGGCTCCTCATTTTCATTTTGCACCAGGTTTCACAAAATATGTAGCTAGTCCCTTCATACAAGGCCCTGGTCCTCAGAGGAGCATGAATGTGACTGTGGTCTTTGTGCCTCTGATGATTTATCATTTTGGCATTTTTAAATGTGATGGTCTTTCACCGCAATGTTACACTTCAGATCCCAAGAAATCTTTGTGAGAAGTAATGCCACCGATATGCGATATGTATAACATCTGCGGAACCACAATACCCACTAAGTGCCCATTCTCTGCCTGGTGGTAACTTAGGTATTATGTTAACAATCTTAACAAAAAATTTTGCCACATGTTCATTTTCTGTTACTATCCAACCAGGGCATCCCTAGTTCTCATCATTTTCTCCTAAGTGGGTACTTATTTGAACAACAACTTATTTTTAATTCTCTTTTAATTGCTACATAATTAGATTCAGAGGCTGTTATGATCTTAAGGTTTAGCACAATTCCAAACTCAGGCCAGGGTGGAGAGGAAGGATGAGGAAACATCTCCCCTTGCCCACAGATCTGCAGACAGCTCTTCCTGTAATATTTAGAGATTCCCAAGTGATCCTGGATTAATGAATCAATTAGCTAGCCCTGGCGATGTTGTAGTAGGGGTGACAGACATGATAACCATTAACCTTTAGTGAATGCTTCCCTTGTGCTCAGTTCTGTGAGAACCTATGAAGTAGGTATTGTTCCCATTTTGCAGATAAGAAAATTGAGGCAGGGGAAATGTTAAATAAAGCATGATTTAAATAACAATTTTAAATACCCTTTCTATTAACTCCTACCCTTAAAATGTTACTCCTAACTCAACAGCCTGCATAGAAACCATTGTCCTCTGATAATCATACTCTACGGCAAACGTGGATCTCTGGAACTAAAATATCATCTCTAAGGCTGTCTATTAATTCTATATGGATATTGTTATGTAGACAATTCATTAAAAGTGTATTGACCATAACTTTTAGAGTGTCTGCTAAGATGGTTGTTTAAGATTGCTGTTAGCTCACTCCCAGAACCAAACCAAATTCATATATTCTATTATTTATTAACAGTCATTAACTTACCAGTATTAAATTTTAACTTGAAACTGCCCCAATATCGAAGACATTTTATAACTCACTGTCACTTCCCCAGGCATCAAGTTTTCCACAGTGACTTCAGTATGTAAATTTTACCCTTGTTGAAGGAGACTGTGGACATTTGAATGTGGAGTGCTGGGAGTGAATCTATTAATGAAAAGGGGACTTGACAGAGAACGGAGAACCCTTGCTGCACTCCTTCTTGGGGGTGCTCAGCAGAGTCAGGCCAGTTCCATAACGCTTCCCATTTATACTGCGGCCCTGCTTCTCAGAAAATTTCTCAAGCGCCTGAGTCTCCATCCATTCTGTAAGATTTTCCGGAATCATATTTCAGGAAGGGATCAGGATAAGTCAGTGTTGAGAGTGTGCTAAGGCAGCAGGCAAGGCCTGAGCTTCCTCTCAGAGGCACGAAGCCATCCACTGTGGATTTATGGATGGAGAGTGGGGCCTGGCCCAGGGAGGGCAGTGGGCCAGACTGACAGCTTGCCCTTCCAATAAGGAAGGGGGACAAGGACAGAGAAAGGACACAGCTGGCTTAGAGGTGAAAGCCATGGTCCACGGCCAGAGCCAGAATATCAGAACAACTCCAAGGGCTCTGTAGGAAAGGGCCTTCCTTGATACCAAGACACTGGCTGGCAGGCACGCATGCTCTCAGAACCCAGGCCACAGGACGTCAGGCTGTGCCCAAGGGTTTCCCGACCTCATGCCAAAGAATGAACTACCTGATGTTTCTCCAACTGAATTGGCAGAAGACTGTACTTATTGGAACATGTCAGGAACAATGAGAACAATGGTGTCAAAATTATTACTTTTTCTCCTACTCAGATGTCCTCAAAGAATAGGGGTGGAGATGTTTTATTGGAGATTCTTTGATTCATTCTTCCAGTCTTATCTCCAGAAGAGGGACTTATCTCTAGGAGAGAAACTCATAGACTAGAAAAGGGTATTGAAAATGTGGATCGTGATGCCTACAGTAAAGGAGTTGCAGGTGGAGTGATTTAGGTAAATCAAAAAGAATTAATGTTAAAATTGTAGCTTTAGAGCTCTTAACCTCTTCCCAGGTCATGATGAATCTAATACTGACCCGGAAAGGTGAAAGGAAGAAATTCTAGTACAGAAATGTCTCAAAGCAAGAGAAATTGTATATATGCATGGTAGATCAAACTTCATGGYATTGTCCAAGAGTATCATGAATTAAAATTAACCGAAAAAAGGCCAACTAATTGAACAATAAATGGGTGATTTCTAAATAGAATTTTTGTGTTGTCTCTTATAGTTCATATTTTATGAAAATTTTTTCAAAATCTGAAGATTCTTTCGGTTCTCAGCTGTCTGAGATATCCTGCTGCTTCCATAGTAGTCCATAGACAAGTGACATGTTCACATGGTTATTGTCAATGTCATTCTCAGAACCCATTAATGCAGCTATTGAGAAGTTTCACAAATTTTCCAAGAAGTCTTAAAGAGCTTCCTCAAGCATTTCCTAGTTTTCTACCCTTAACTAGGCTTAGTTCAGGAAAGCTTGCTCTGAGGCAGACCCTGAGATATACCCCAGGGGCCACTGAGTGGGGACTCTGAAGTGGAATTTTTGAGGAAGATTGGTAAGCAATGACCACTTATGATTTAATTTTGACTTTGAAAATAGCAAAATAGATCTGAAATTCATTATGCAAAAGTGATTATCATTTATGTTTTATATAAAAGAAAGTGCTGAACACCTTTTTTTTTTTTTTCCTGGACTAGAGCTACTTTAATAAAATTTGCAGTTTACATCCTTACCTTACATGGTTCTATGGAATCAGTACACATTGTAAATCAAAAGTCAAAATAAAGCCAAGCTAGTGGTGTACGCCTGTAATTCCAACAGCTCGGGAGGTTGAGTCAGGAGGATGGTGAGTTCAAAGCCAGCCTCAGCAACAGTGAGGTGCTTAGCAACTCAGTGAGCCCCTGTCTTTAAAGAAAATACAAAATAGGGCTGGGGATGTGGCTCGGTGGTTGAGTGCCCCTGAGTTCAATTCCCAGTACCAAAAAAGAAAAAAAGAAATAAAAATAACTAATTCCCAATTATATATATATATATATCATAACAAACAGAACTTTGATTTCAGTTTAAAAGCATTCAGCTGTCAAATTAGCTCACTATGGAATTTAGCAAAGTCATCACTGAAATTTTAATCTCCTAAAAATACAAGCCCATCTTTGTATAGAATTGGTGGAGAAATGTTAGCAGCCCTCTTACATCATATATATATGTACATATCATGCATATATACATATGTATTAAAACTTCAAAGGACTTTTCTGTATCAATTCCCTTGGATAAAATTAAAGGATTTAGGTTGAATGAATTAAGTATGGAGATATAGCCAGTTGTAACTAAAATAATTTTATCTTGAGCTGATCCACGGATGTCAGGTTCAGTGTCAACCAAGTTGGAGGTCATGGAAGGCATTCTGGTTGTCAAGATAACGTTTCTGCCTAAGCCATTTCTTCAAACGTGGTGCTGACATCTCAGGCGATTGATCAAACTGGAGCTTCTGCCCAGTGTGCTGAAAGTCAAGTGCCTACGACTCTTAATGACATCTAAAGGGATATTTAGAGTAGATTGTACCTTTGATAGAATGATGGATTGAGTTGCCCAAGAAAACAGTTTTGGAGGATGATGAAAGTATGACCACCTGCTGGTGCCAGTTCTTCTGTGACCCTGAGCACTTATCTCCCTTGTAGGTCTTATCAGAGTGCCAGATGGGGTGGGGGCAGGGAGAGGGGGAGGAAGACACTCACTTAAACCCTGGGCTCTGTGTGGGAAAGAAATTTCTGATTTTGTTGAGGAAATGAGGCCTTCGTTCAAGAGGCAGTACCATCAACACAAGATGGTGCATTGCAAAGCAGAGAGCAGTCTGGGATGCATCCATTTGTGCATTGTCAGAGGTCACGGTGAAGGGAGGATTCACAAGGGTTGTGGTCATCCAGGAGGGCTCTTGGGAGAGACAGTAGCGTTAGCTGTGCCTTAAAACATCAATAAAATTTCCCCAGGTTTAGTGACCAAGTTTCTTTCAAGGGAAGCATCAGGAAAGAAAACCTGGGCAGAAATCAATAAATATAATGTGGTTTGGGAGGCAGTAGTGAAATCCTCACCCAGACTTGGTGAGGATGCACCCAGGGGTTGAAGAGAAATAAAAATGTAAAAAAAAAAAAAAAAAAAAAACCTTTTAAAGGTGTGTCAAGTGTATGGAGAATATCAGGCCTTCCGGGGTCAGGCAACCAAAGATTTTAATCTTGGGAGTGGAAAGTGCAAGGGCAGCATTTAGAGGAGGTTTCCTGGGGTGACTGTAGGGGGCATTATTGAAAGGAAGCAGTAAGACTCCTGGTGCAAACTAAAGGCACGGAGCCCTGGAGCCAGGGAGTGTGGGGAGAGAACTTTCATGTCCAAATGGATTAGAGGGACACTATCAGGGTGGAAACAATGTATCACAGAATGGCGGGGAAACCCATCTCTCCTCTCTTTCTTCCAAGATGCTTCTGACTGTCACCTTTGGCTTTGGCAGTTGGAGGCTTGAGGTGTATGTAGCCCATCTCTGCCCCCCTTTCAGGAAGCCCTTGTTGTAAGCCACTGCTGTTGGTCTCCCATCCTGCAGCCAGCCTCTGGCTGAAAGTAACAGCAGATGCTGCTTGGAACCAGTTTCTTCTGTGTTCGGAAAATGATGATATCTTCAAAATATCGAATTCCTCAAGGGTGGAATTCTCTTTCATTCTCCTCTCAAGTCGTTTCTTGATGGTAAGATACTAAATGTTCTTGGGTATCATATCAATAATCAGGAGAAAGAAAATGCCCACTGCTTTCTCAGGAATTACCCACTTTTTTCAAGCATTTATTGAAACTACTAGGTAACATGGAGGATGTAAACCATAAGGTATTGTTGGATCCCGAGGAACTTATAATCCAGGAGAAAAGAGAAAACAAAGTATACCCAAACCCGTAATGTGGTATGCTATGTAAATTGTCTCAGGTGAAGCAGAAAGTAGTGTGAGGTGGCTTTTGCCAGCACACAGGCTGGTTAGCAGGAGGACTCTGACTCACTTGTCCAAGTTGAACCTGGAGCACCTTAACCAGGTCAGGAGACCTGCATTCTGATATTGCCCCTGACATTATGTTTTCATTTGACCATGGACAGCTTGGATCAATTTTGAGTTTCTCAGAATTGAAATGAAGGTATAGCACAGCCTTTGTCTCTTCTTTAGTTGGCTCACCCCAACTTCCTAGGTGCTCCCAGAGTTGTAAATATCATGGTGAAAAGCTGTAGGGAAACTGAACTTGTATTTGACTTTCTGGTTTTGTGGGAAAAAAAATGGCAGGACTCAAACCATCCTTTCCTATTCTGTTGAACTCAGCATCCCTCCCCCTCCAAGGGTCAAAAGCACATTACCCAGTATGAAAGAAGTGCCTAGCATTCTTGAAGTCTTCCCTATCCCAAAGCCACGAAGAGAAACCAAGAAACCAAACAACAGTGTTGACTCATTATTTCAGAGGTAGAAAATATGTATGAGTGTCCAGATTGTGCATGCCCTCTCTCCCTCCCCCTGCACACACACACACACACACACACACACACACACACACACCCTCTTTGATTTAAGGAACTCTTCTAGCTCCTCTGCAGGCAGGAGGAGATGGGATATGGGGTGGGGACTATGGTGACCTGGGAGGAGGACTACTTTACTTGAGTGTTTCTTCTGAGGGGTGGGTCCCTTCCACCTTCCATGGAGTGACTCCATGATAGGACCTTGCAAGTATATCCACAGGAGTGCTGGTAAGATTCTCGGTGCCATGTGACTCCTAGACAATAGTGTCATGAGGGAGGCTGGTGAAGGGCTATTTTCAGATACTCATTCAGGTGATACTGGAAAACGGGATGATTTCGGAGTAAGTAATAACCCTGGAATCTCCTGGCCTTTTCTTTTAAAAGTAGTTTTCCTGACAGCACACTTTTATCAAAGATTTGTGTGTGTTTGTTTAAAACCACAATATGAATATTTGCGACAAGTAGCTACACAATGCGTGCCCTGAGTCCTCCTCTTGGGTTCCCAGAAGAAGCGTCCCTCTTAGAAGGCCAGGTAGGTTGTCCGTGTCCAGGGAGACAGAGGGGATCCCAGGGCGTCTTGACAATGTGCTGTCTTTCTCCCCCCAGGTCCTCTACAACTTGTTCAAATCCTTTTGCCAGATGAAAACCATTGAGACCATCGACGTGTTTGCAGGAATTGCCAACTTCTTTGTGGTGGGAATTGGCGGAGTGCTGATTGGCATCTTCCTGGGATTTATAGCAGCATTTACTACTCGTTTCACACACAATATCCGTGTGATTGAGCCACTCTTTGTCTTCCTGTACAGCTATTTGTCCTACATAACAGCTGAAATGTTTCATCTCTCAGGCATCATGGCGTAAGTATTTCTTTGCTAAAAGCCCTTGATTAGTATATTCCATTGAATTTATGCATGCAAAGAGAAGATAGTAACATTGAATAGGTTATATCAAAGACTAGGTGGTCTTATTGTAAGAAAAATCGAAAATAGATTTTTCTTACCCTTTGTTATAAAGAAATGAAAACATCAAATTTATGCTCATCTAATCTAGGCTACGCTGGAAAGCTACCTAAAAGTTATCTCTTGAGTTTCACATGAGATGTGACAAGGAGCTTGGCGTTGATCTTGATTAGACACCAGAATTTTGTGAGGTTGATCACCATTCCCCGGGGTCCTTGTGACAGGCTGTAAAATATTCTTAACAAGGTTACATAACATAAACTGTTCCACACATTCTGGAATTGCTTCTGTATATCCATTTGAATGATCTTAGTGGTAGGAATATGTTCTGTAATAGATTTTAATAGAGGCAAGAGCTAAAAGCATTGAAAGCAGAATTCAGTGAAGAAGGGTTGTGGTCCTGTGATTTCCGTTTAGTTGTTAGGATATTAAGATCCAATTATAGAGCAGGACATTATTGTTAAAAATTATGTTAATCGATGGTTGCAGTGGCATATGCCTGTAATCCCAGTGATTCATGAGGCTGAGGCAGGAGGATCACAAGTTCAAAGCCAGCCTCAGCAACTTAGTGAGGCCCTTAGCAACTCCGTGAGACCCTGTCTCAAAAAAAAAAAAAAAAAAATCAGTTAATGTATCATTCATTTTAACTGACTGTCCCTGGTGAACTGACTTCTAAAAATGGCCTGAAGAGCCATGCCTGGTGTTGCACACCTTTAATCTCAGTGACTTGTGAGGCTGAGGCAGGAGGATCACAAGATCAAAGCCAGCCTCAGCAATTTAGCATGGCCCTATGCAGCTTAGTGGTTAGACACCCCTGGGTTCCATCCTTGGAACCAACCAAACAAACAAACAAAAATGAACTGAGGAGTGGTAGCATTTTGGATCCCCCGGAGGCCTTCAGTGTGTTGCTTCAAAGCAAGCTACTCCTTGGATGTGGATATCTATGTGACTTCTCAAAACAAGCCTAAAATATTATGGTCACACTCTCCTTAGGGATAGTGAGAAACACCTTAGTAATGAACAATGGACAGCTTTCAATTTCAAAAAAGGTGAACAAATATGTATTTGCAGCCCCACATTGCACTAGGCTGCAAGCTAGGACTGCTAAATGAAGTTAGAATTTTGCTGCTCTAAACAAAGTCCTCGTTCTTCCTGGAAATTTCTCTCCTAACCTGATTTATGTGATGCTTTGACGAAAGATGATCTTGTTTTCCACCTTATGCTTTTGCATCAGCAGCGGATGAGGTCTGTGGTGGAGGAAATCTAGGCCCCTGCGAAAGGAGAGTGGGAGTCATTGTTGTGAAAGCCGTGGGTGGAAGGTGGGGTGGTGTCCTGTTTCACAGAGAACCTAAATAAAGCAACATATTAATCCAGTTTGACCCAGTAATGAAATGTCTTCCTGGTGACTATTCATATCGTTTGTGCGACTTCCAGTTTCCTCTGTTCTTTGCAGAGTGTCATTGGCAATATGGGATCAGCTAGTCACAGGTCTATAAGAAGAGTGTGGGGGTGGGTCTCCGTGTCTAGTTTTGCAGCAGTGTTGTTCTAGAAACAGTCTGTGGGGGTGGGGACCTTGAAGTGCAGAGCCTAGTATATGTTCCTGGATTTGTGCCTATGTCAATGTTCTAAGAGAACACTAAAAGAGTAATGATGTGAAGAAGTCCTCTTACCTGCTGTTAAGGTCAGGAACTGGGCTCTCCAGAGATCCATAGTATGCAGAGATAGTTGAAGAGTTGGATGAGATTGGAATCCTGGTGCCTGAGATATGTCAGGAGGCCCAAGGTTGGCTGGGGTCAGAAAGCTCATGAGCATCAGATCCTGAACCACTCAGGAAGGCAGGGTGCTGGGTTCATTTGTACTGGAAATTCAGAAATCAGAGAGAAATAGAGCCATATGCTTTTGCCAGCGCAGGTAACTCTTGGCTGTGGTTTGTGGGTGGATGTTAAACACTGCCTTTCCTTCCGACTTTAAAGAGAACTTGTATTTTATAACATAGTGTGGAGAAAATTCCTTTAGTATATTTGAATTATTTTGTCGTTGTACCTAGTGCACCAAAACAATGAACGAAGCCTTATATAAGATATTGAGGAGACGTAAACATTTTTGTGTCTAGAGTTACCATTTGCACTCACTGTCCTATGACAGCAAATGAAGGGACAGAGTCACACTGGCTGCCCTTGGTCCTCAGAAGTGATGCCATTTTCTAATGTCAGGGAATTCATGCACCATTCAAAGCCTGGTAGTGTGTGGTGCTTCCATGTGGTGTAGATCACAGTGGCACGTGACACCACCCCCGCCACCTTGAAGTAAGTTGTGGCCCTTCCACGTGGTAATGACTGTATTTACCTTGGGACATGTGGCCCAAGGAATCCAGTTTATTGATGCTATTAAAAGTGCACGTATATACACACCTCTTAGAGCATGAATGATTGTGGGGAGGCTAAAATCGTACCAAATTTAAGAAATTCCTATTGCATTTCATGCAAATTGCACTTCTTGCCATTTAAAGACAAATTTTAAGGTGAAGATGCTTGTGGTGACAAACTTGAGAGATTGGAAAGGAAAATCTGGCAGAGACAGGAGGTGGGTGAGCCTCTAAAAAGCCCACCAAGGATTTGTATAAGGCCTGTAAAACTTGGTCCACTTGAGTCTTGCCTGCTGTCCTCCTCCTTGGCCTCCCTGTCTTCTTCTACCTACCTTTCCTTCTCCTTCCCGTTTTCTTCTCCTCGGTGCTGGGGATCCAATCGAACCCAAGGCCTTTGGCTGTCTGCTGAGCTGCTCCCCAGCTTYAGTCCAGTTCTCTGCACACAGGAGCCTCACCTTGGGTAGACCCTTGTCCAGAGTGAGGTGGTTTAATGAGAAGGTAGTGGGGTTAAAAACAAACTTCCTTCGGTGTGACAGGAGACTTAGCTTTGGATGTAAAATGCAGCCAGTCACTTAGGTAGGAGAAGGCTCGGGCAGGATTTGTGTCTTGATTTCGGTGGCAAAATATGGGAAGCAGGTTGCTGTTGCTGCTGTCGGTTGTTCTCAGACCTTGGTCTTACATGTGTTCCACCAACAGCCACTACACTGATGGGGTCACGTCTGGCTTTGGGGAGATGAGTTCTGGGCATGCTTAAGGTTTGGTCTCCTCTTTGTGGTCTTTCCTAATAAGCACTTCAGAACTGAATTTAATGTTAAGGAATTGTTTCTGCTCAGGAGGGTTTTCAATTCAAGCATGAAGAGAGAAGATGAAAATCCTTATTTTAAAAATATTATTCTGCCTGTTTATTCACTGGAATTGATTATTGCAGTAGGGAAAAGTGTGTAAAGTGTGTGTGTGTGTGTGTGTGTGTGTGTGTGTGTGTGTGTGTGTTTGAGAGTTTGGTTCCCTAGCGTGAGACCTAAAGTTCAGGGGTAGATTCTGTCGTCCCCCAAACAAGAAATTTTGCACATCAACAGCAACAGACACCTTCCAGGATTGAAGCACTTTCTCCAGAGACGTGGAAGGGATTCCTGTTAAGGCTTCCAGAAATTCTTGTCTTTGCCCGTGCATTTCAGACTTGACATTCAGAAAAATACTCAGATAAAGCACTGACAGTCCACCACAGACAATGGGGGACTTTAGGTCATTTTACTTTGTTTACCCGAGGGCCTTAACAGCTGCCTCAAGTGATGGCTAAAAATCAGATCTCTGCAGATCAAACTGTAAGTACGATTCATTCTCCTTTTTGGACATCTGGCTCTGGTCCTTACCTTGTACCACACACAGTCACCTGGGCTCTGATTAATGGGACATTGAAGGCACACTGTCCTGCAGAGTGGCAGAACATGGCCAGAGGGTGACTGAGTATAGTGATACCAGCACCCTGGKTCTCCAATGATAGCAGCAACCCAGTCCATTAAAAGGGGGAAAAAATCACATTTAAAAACATTTTAAAAAGAGAATTTAATAGGAATTTCCAGAATGAGAGGTTCGGGGATGGGATCTAGGAACAGGTCCAACTGTCTGAACTGAGATAGTCACTCCTGAAGGGTGACAATCTTATTCCCTCTGCTACCTGTTTTGCTTTATAAAGAGGACAATTGCCGTCTCTCTTGTAGCWTTGTTACTGAACCTAATTTACTCCCCGCTTGAAAAGGGCCCAATGACTTGAGCACAAGTTGTTGGGGGCAAAGAAAAAGATTTATTCAGCGAGTCTGCAAGACAGGGAAGATGGTGGAAGAGCTCCTGAAAGACCATCTGAATTCGACACAGGTTTAAGCTCCTTTTAGCTTTAGGAGGAAATGATTGTTGACACCTGGCAGCTGGTAATCTGTGGATTTGCATCCTTCTTGCAGGGGGAGGAGAGAGATTAGGGAATTTTCAGGTAAATGAACCTCATGCTGTTAGGTTCAGGGATTAATGAGGGCTGTGTCCTCAGGGAGACAGAAGCTCTTTCCAGCCAAGGTGCAACCACAGCTTCTCTCCTAGTTCCTCTGAACCATGCTGTGTGGCATTAGGAGACCGCCTCTTCAAGATTCAAGGATATGAAATCATTACCCTATGTGTGAGAAGGTTCCAGAATGACTAGGTCATGTTTAGTGGGGTTCTCAAAGATCTAAAAAAATAAAAATAAAAACATTTCAGAACATTCATAAAACATGACACAGAACGTCATATTTATGACACACTTTTGAACCCAAGGAGCCACTAGATCGATCTTTTGAAGTGTGAAGGACCGGCAGGCTGAGAGTTGGATGGAAGGGCTGGAGGGGTCAAGGCTGTAGTCTGAGATCTGTGCCTCCATGGTCCCTATACTTCACTGGGTCACTGTATCTTCAATTATCCTGAAAAATAATACCTTTACTTTTAATTATGATGTATATCTTCACTTTTATCAGAGACCTTTCAAAACTAAGCCATTTTAAAATCAGGT